GTTAATGACGACGTGACATAATTTTCATAATTCATTCATAAGCGTAGATGACAAAAATGTAAATTGTTACCAATTGAAGTAAAATCGTTAATAATATATTCGTAAAACATCAATAAGTAATGTTAAAATTGTTAATAATGATAATGTATATAATAAAAGTTCATTTCATAATGTTAATCACAAGACGTCACAAAGAGAGTGGGCATTTTGAATTTTCAGTTTTAAAATGCTAAACATTAATTTCAAAATTTATTTCCCCAAAGAGAGACGTGCCTGTTGCAAAATGAGGCGGTTATTAATGAATTAGGAAATTTTCCAATTTTCAAACAATAAATATTATTTTTAATAATATTAAATAATTAAGCAAACTACCTTATTATCCTTTTAGTTAGTTACCTTCTTTCCCTCTCTCTCCTCTTCCTATTGGTCAGACAAAGTTTATGAAACTCCTTAAGTTTGGGGCTTAAGGATGTGATCCAACCCATCTTTCTTTAATGGAACATTCAAACTCTTAAAAGGAAAATATTGACTCTTGGTTCGGGACGGGATACGGTGACAACCTCCAGTGTTTGTCAGATTGACAACCAAGGGTATTTTGGGTATAAAAAAGGAATATATTAATTACTTTTTTTGTATTAATTATATTGAGAATTAAAAACCCATATTAAATACAAATTTTTTTTAAATTTAAATCCTATACATTAATATCTCTATTTATCTCTCTCTTCCTTTCTCAAGCGGTCACTCCGCATTGACGGACAAACTTTTTTCTTCGGCGAATTCTCTCCGGCAGACTCCCTCCGGCAACCTGAAAAAATGTACTAGTGCGTTAAAAAGTGTATCAATCCATTAGTCTACTGGTAATTAATATACCAGTGCTAGTGGTACGTTACCAGTACAGCGCTACCACTACCATATCGTATCGTACCACTAGCACTGGTAGCGCTACCAGTGCTAGTGGTACGCTATCATTAGCATTGGTAGCGTACCACTAGCACTGGTAGCCTACCACTAACATTGGTAGCGGTACCAGTAGGGAATAACACAAAAAAACAGATGGTAGTGGTACCAGATGATAGTGCTATGCTACCACTACCAACTACCTGATGTTAGTGGTAGGTACCACTATCACTAGTACGCTACCAGAAGAAAAATGGTACCACTAAAAAAATCAGATCTAGAAAAGGGGAGTCGGTGACGGGAGAGAGAGGTAGGGGAAGAGGGTGACCTCACGATGACGGCAGTGGTGGGAGACGAAGGGCGGCGAGAGGGCTCCGACGGGGAGAGGATGATTGCGCCGTGGTGGTCGGAGTGGACGTTGCAATGGCATGGGGTGGAGGGAAACTGAGGATTGCTGAGACGACGGCGGTAGAGGGCTACTGCGGGAGACAGGGGTGGCGCCGCCGGCGGTGGAGGGCTGCTGCGATGGAGGACGCGGCAGCGGTGGAGGGTTGCGGCGGTGGAGGACTGCTGAGGTGGAGGTGGCTGCGTGAGAGAGGGAGGAGGGGGAAAGGGGGTGGGAGGAGTTAGGGTTTTGTTTTTAATTTATATGGGAGGGTAAATGATTGTGTGAAAAATCTTTTCCATTCCAAAAATACCCTTTGTTTAATCTTAACCAACAATTTGAAAAGAAAAAAAAAAGAGAGGAAAGAAGGCGTATCCAATGGTAAGGAGGTGGGTTGTCAAACTCACAACCCTCTAACAGCTTGTTTGGATATAATTCTGTTGGAAAATGAATTCCATTTCTTGTGAGAATCTGAATTCAAGTGGGAATTCATTTCAAGAGTTTATGTTTGGAACAAATCCAAAATTTTGGGAAATGATTTCATCTTTTTATGTTTGGAAAAAAATGGAAATGATTTCTTACTAGTGCTTTTACAATAATATCCTTGGTATTAATGATTTCAAATCCAAAAGTAGTAAGGGTTTTATTGTAAAGGTGAGTCAAAATTAATGTGAGGTCCACTAATTCTATCACTCCCTCCACCAATTCCGACCACTTTTTATATGATTTAGAATTTCCAACTTTTTACCTTTTGGAATTCCATTTCCTTTTTATTTTTTACTTCCAAACATGATAATCATAAAAAGTTTGAGAATTGGAATTTCATTTCCTCAAAATTTAGTCTTTCCAAATAGACTGTAAGGGGTTGTCACCGTATCCCATCCCCTCACTTCTATGTTCATAGGTGAATATGCATATTTCCATGAAGGATTATGACATCTTGAGATGTTAATTTCATGATTAAAATATACAAATTCTTATAAATATCACGACATTTTCTATGCACCTCAAATGTAAGTTGTTTTCAATCACATCGATGGTCCTTATTGATCTAAATGTACCTTACGTGCATGTACAAATCATAAGGAGGTCCAATCGAGCCATTAGTTCTCCAATGATCAAATAAGAAGAGATCCTTTAGAGAGATAAGCAATGCATATAGTTTTAGAGAGAGGCAGACAGCCTTAAATGTGGTACATTCACACTATTTACAGTTGATAGCTTTACATTCCAAAACCTTCCGTATTATCCTGCTCATTGCTAACGCCACATCGACTATTCGATACTCCCCATCGGTCATCTGCAGTTGGATCACATATAACATTTTGGGATCTACAAATTCTTGTTGATTAATGAAATTGGTTGGAATGAGATACGATGACAACCCTTCTCATACCAAATTGGAAATCGGAGAGGCTCAGCAAATGACTAGGCTTTCAGCAAAAGGGGGCAAAGCTCGTACTCCAGAGACAGTAAAGTGCGATTTGATATAAACTTAAGGGTTACATAAGACCAGTATGCAATGGCGGCCTCAACAGACACTTTGTCAGACCCAAAAAAAACACAGAACATTATTGCGTCCAACCCCTGGGGGTCATTCTCTCATCTCTAAAACCAACCTAACAAGAAGAACACAGAAAATTTGGCCCAAAAAATTCGAAACCAGTCTCCTGCCTTCTCACTTCCCTTCAGCCACTTCCTTCTCGAAGAATGTCTTCCTAATCCAACTAAATGGCTGCAGAGTAACAGAAAGCCAGATTAATACTTCAGAACTATATCGAATACTGCATGCTATTGACAAGGTAATTATAAGCGTGCAAAGCTCTTCAAACAAAAACAAGAGGATATCAGAGTAAGAGCACTAGTATTCGGGGAGAACAACCACGTTATGGATATCAGATGTCAATTCATATCTTTAACTAGATATTTGAGGTAGCAAAACATTTCAACCGAAAGAAGGATTGATGGAAGAAGTGAACTTTATGCGAAGAAGGACAAAGTGGATCAAAAGAAAATTTCCTTTCAGTACCTTAACAGTGTATGAGGAAATTTTTGTACCATGAAAACTAGAATCAAAGGGAACAGACGATAGGGAATACAGACAATCAAAATCAAGTTTGCTTCGTAACTTAAATGCCAGCATTTCATATAGCATTCAACTGCAAGACTAGAAGCTACAAATGAACATTTGATAAGAGGGATATCCACTACGACAGCCTGCTTCCTGTATTCCCAAACTGTGCATATGGTAATTGGTAGGGAACAATATAGTGAAAGAGTTTCTATTTCTGGTTCATATCCTACTACAGCCCATAGCCATTGCAATTTTCATGACATGTTAAGTACATCATCGGAGAACCCAAAATTCAGATGCCCAATGTCACCATCTCCATCTTGTATATAGCATATACATGATAGCACAGAGAAAGCAAACATCGGAAACAACTGGACTCGAGCAGGGCGTGTGCAATTGGGAGGGATGTTCATAAACCAGATATTAACAACACAAGTTCACCAAAAATATGGATGAAGAAAGATAAAAGAACAATTTGGAAACAAAAACAGCAAAATGAACGCTCCTACAAGCAGGACCAGGATATGTGTCAACAACCAATCAGAAATCAGAAGTGAATGCTTCCCAATTCCTAACTAAACACCACTACTGTGAGTCTATGACCATTCACCATTAGAGATTATCATTTCTAATATTACGAAACAAAAATGCAATTCTAACGTGATCCCACGTCAAATAGCAAACATGGCATCAAGGAAGGAATCCTCAAACTTCTTACAATAACCCAGGGCCACAATCAGAAACATTAGCAGATTATATCAGCAACCCATCACGGGAATATCATTTACAAGCAAAAGTAAAGATTTCCATTGCAAAAAAGTCAAGGGCAATCACGTGAGGAAATTCCGTGCATCTAGGTTCCCACAGGAATCGGCATTTGATATCGAACGAGGATGCAAAAGAGAGGGGCTGATGATTTGCAAGGCGATGAGATCAACAGGTTCGATGTGAAATATGGGTAGAGGGCGGCAATCGTACCTGAGTGAGATAGATAGCGCCGGCGCCGGCGGCCGCGCCCCAAAAGGCCAATGACTGGATCTCGGTGGCTTGGAGACGAACCTTCGGGCTCAAGAACTTCATCATCCCTCCACCAGTCATGTCGATAGAACTCTTTAAAAATTCTTTGATTTTGATCTTCGGGGGAACCCACTCGCCCAAACCCTAGTCAGAATCGAAAAAATTAAATGCTGGGAAATTGATTACGAAAGAGATGTTCAAATGTGCTAATATTTCCATTTGCACCTCTCTTCTAATTTGATAATTTTAATTTCTCTTACGGAGAATTGGGCCCTTTTTGGGCCTCGGTAGCTGCAACAAAATTGAGAAGAAAAAAATTAAAAACTTGAAAAAAGAGCTCCCAGTGAGGATCGAACTCACGACCTTTCCCTTACGAAGGGAACGCACTACCACTATGCTATGGAAGCTATCTTGTTTATCTTATTCCTCCAACCTTATATTACAAATAAATAAACCAATCGAATTTAGTTGGTAGTTATCTACCTCCGCTTTTCCCTCCACGTTCTGTTTCACAGTTTTCTGCTGCAGAATCTGCTCTCACGTCTCTGTTGTATCCAAACTCCCATGATCTATGTTGATCACATCGTGTATAAAGATTCTACACAATCTCTTAATCCCATTTCTCCAAACTGTCACTTATGACTATACCAACAACAACTTCTGAGTTTGCTTGGATATTCCCTTCTCCTATTTACTGAATCTGGTTTTCCCAATGTTTTCGTCTTTTCAGTTTCCTTGCTTCAACTTCCCATACTAAAAGCCTCAACTTACTTAGTCCATATATATAGAGAAAGCCTCCCCATTTCCCCCCCACGAACTGAAAACACAATGGCACGCTTTGTGGTGGACTCCAACTCCCTCTTCTTCTACGGCACAGTAGACAGCACCATCGTCGTGCTCGACACCCGAAGCGACCTCAACCGCTTCCCCACGACCTTCCACGAATGGAAGACCGTCGCCATAGTGACATGCCCGCTCAACAACAGAAGCAGCAGTAGTAGTGCTGTTGCTGCTGCTGCCAATCATATAGGCAGAAAGCTGTACACAGAGCTGGAGATCTTCGGCAATGTGATCGAAGGCCCCAACTTGAGAAGGCTGCGTGCAGAGCTCTTCACCTCACAGTTGCTGGTCAATCGCGAGGGCTACCAGGTCGGATACTGCAACGACGACGCCTGCAAGGCTCTGGCGCTTGGCAGCAGCTTGATGCTGAAGATAAACAACTTGTTCGATTGGTGGAGGTATGGAGTGAAGCCGGAGGTAGCCACCGCGTGGAAGCGGTATGATGTTGGTGAAGATGATGAGGATGTCGTTGATGTCGAGAAGTTGGCGATGGAATTGGAAGAGCAGAGCAAGGAGCTGAAGGAGTGCAGGGTTAGGATGGCGGAGAAGGAGGAGATCGTCGACCATTACAAGCGGCTTTTGGAGGAAAGCAGAGAGGTGTTGAGACAGAAGAGTATGGTTGTTGAGGAGAAGGAAAGAGTGATTGAAGAGCAGAGGAGGCTGATAGAGAAGAAGGATGGGGAGATTGAGGAGTTGGAAGTGAGATTGTGGGAGATGAGTTGAAGGGCAAGATGGGTTATTGAAGAGGCAGAGGGGTTAGCAGTTGGTCAATATCTATCTAGTATGGTGTACTATAAAATCCAACATGAACAATCAAATATTGCAACATTCAAGAAAATGAAAAGATCTCGAGAAAAAGAATCAAATCAGAAGGCAACAACATGATCAAGCCAACCTTTTCTTGATTGTTTCAAGTCACCCTCTCCCTCTAACCTAGGTAGATGAACAACAACAATCACTTCAAGAACACTGAATACACTTATACAAGGATCCGCTGACTAAGGTCGCTTCCCAAAAAAGGACCTTCTCTTGTGACTACATGACCAACGCTATAAAATCACTAAATCAGGGCAATCATGTTATTCTGTAACCAAATACAGCTTTAATGCCTTACAATGAAGAGGAAAGCTTGTTGGAGTTCTTAGCTCTCGCATCGTCCTTTGATGTGGGTCGTCGTCCCTTGTCAGGACCGCCAATGATGCCCCAGGCGTCAAACTGCCTTTGTCGTGCTCGAGCCCTCTCTTTCTCTTCTTCAGATTTCGATGAGTAGCAGTGAGGACAAGTAACTCCACGTTCCCACTCTGGTGTTTCCATGTCTGCATCACTCACTGGTTGCTTACATCCATGACAGAGCTTAAAAGTCCCCTGTGCCAAACCGTGCTCAACAGATACTCGCTTGTCAAAGACAAAACATTCACCCTCCCACAGGCTCTCTGGTTCTGGAACCTCCTCGAGGTACTTCAAGATTCCTCCTTCCAGATGATAAACCTATCAGTGACCAAGTTGTCTATTATGGTTCATTCAATATTTTTGTTCACGCATTATCAGAAGCAAATTCAAGACGGCGCCTAATTTCAAAGGGTAGTGTTATGCGCACAAATGTAACTAGACAAAACAGGAAGGCTAAATGCATTAGTGATGGCCTATGCTGACATGGTCGTTCTAAGCCTAATAACGTATAAGAGGTAATTACGATCAGAAGATCAGTACAAAGCAGATATGGTTCAGCACAGAAAAATTACCTCTTCAAAGCCTTTCTGGAGGAGAAAGCTTGAAGCTTTCTCACACCGAATGCCACCTGTACAGTACATAGCAACCCGTGGAGGCTTTTTCCTTTCGGGCCACTCGGTTTTCAACTCAGTACTGCCACCTGATTGCTGCTTCAAGCTGTCTGCTTTGGGAAGTTCAAACTGATCATCCACCCAAGAAGGGAAGTTCCGAAATGCTGTGGTACAGGGATCAACAGCTCCTTTGAATTTCCCTATTCTTGTTTCATAGTTGTTTCTCACATCAATCACCACCTAGGCATACAAATGAAAATTTTCAGTCCACTCTTCTGCAAATCCAATATGGATTATCCAAAAAAAGCTTTGGTGTCAAACTTGTCGGCGAAGTGTATGATAGCGGAATATCCAACTTTGGAAAGTCAAATGAAAGCAACCCACTCACTGTATCTGGATCGCTAATCAATGCATTCCATTCCCTTGGCTTCACGTACTTCCCAACCCTTTCAATGGGTGACACATCTGGCATTCCAAGAGAAACAATCTGTCTAGGCACAAGTCGATCATGCCCGGATTAAGTTTGCAAAATCATGATTCACCATAGCTATTGAATGACTTTGTTTCGAGTCCAGAGTTGCAATTACCTCTTTTTTCAACTTCACCCTAACATGATCCCATCGAAAAGGTGCATCTTCCCCTGCAGAAAGAGGAGAGCTGCTGGTGTGACCGTGATGGATAGCCTCCTCCTCTGGACTAACAGGTGACTCTATCTTCCTAAGCCCCTTTAGCCGGGAATCATTCTCGATAAATGCAAGAACTTTCCCAACGGAATCTCTAGTCCCACATATGCTCCCATTGATTCCTTCCGGTGCAAGAATGATACCACCTGAAACCCGCTGAAAAAGGATCAACTTGACAAGGTGAGAACATCCCCATCAATTGACATTTTATATCGGCAGCTTAAATGGCATATAGTTCAAGCGACGAACTCAAATGCCAGATTGAGCACACACATGCTAACTCAACTCCAATTCATCACTCATCCAGAAACTCCGAATAAAATCATCAGCGAATCAAACGAGGGAAGGGGCAGAGAGGGTACCAGTTCCTCACATAGCTCCTTCAATGGCTTCCGCAAATTGGCGTGGTCAGGGAAATCCGCAAAGCGATAGAAAGACACGACCATGAGAGTGGAATGTGGGTTTGATTGGCTTTCGAAGTCTGCTGCGGTGGAAATGGGAACCGGGCGAGAAGCGGCGGAACCGGTGCTGCAGTTTGAGACCGTCATGGCTTGTGATTGAGAACTGTAACTACAGGAGTAAATGTTAGGGCGACGACGGTGGGGAGAAGAATTCGAGGCTGGAATAAAGCTCGAGGGGTTCAATTGGAGCAGAAAATTGGGATTAGGGTTAGAGTTAGGGTTTAGAGAGGAGCGGAACGCCGGAATCATCCTGGGAAAGAACACTAGTGGCCGGCTGTAATGACCGGCACCTGAACGTTAGTACACTGCCGCTTTCCTGCCTGACCGCCGACGACTCACAATTCAATGAATTATCAATTATCATATAGGATGATAGCCATAGGAGACGCTAGCAAAATCCTGTAACTTCCAAGTTTCGGTAACAAGAAAAACTAAAAATTACAAAATGGCTATAGAAAATATATAATAACACCTTAATGTCTATAAAACACATAAGAGGTTAATAATTCACAGATAACAATCAAATTGATCAATCTAGAAATGAGTCAATTTGATCAATTGTCTCGTTTTATAAACGAGACAATTAAAACGAGTCAATTCGAATTACCTGCCCCACCCCACTACCCCAGGTAATTGAAATTGCCCAAAACGGATCAATTCAAAATACCTCAGGCAGATTGATCCATCAAATTTTTTGCTAGCAAACGAGACAATTTGATACAATTGTCTCTAAACGAGATAATTGTGTCAAATTGATCCATTACAATTCCTCATCCAAACGACCCCAGGAATTGTAACGGATCAATTTGACACAATTGTCTCGTTTTGAGACAATTGTACCAAATTGCCTCGTTTGCCAGCAAAAAATTTGGATGGATCAATCTGCCTGAGGTATTTTGAATTGATCCGTTTTGAGTCAATTTCAATTACCTGAGGTGGGGGCAGGTAATTCGAATGGACTCGTTTATAAAACGAGACAATTGATCAAATTGATTCATTTCTAAATTGATCCGGGTCGTTTGGATAAGGAATTGTAACGGATCAATTTGACACAAATTGTCTCGTTTTGAGACAATTGTACCAAATTGCCTCGTTTGCCAGCAAAAAATTTGGATGGGTCAATTTGCCTGAGGTATTTTGAATTGATCCATTTTGAGTCAATTTCAATTACCTGGGGTGGGGGCAGGTAATTCGAATTGACTCGTTTTAATTGCCTCGTTTATAAAACGAGACAATTGATCAAATTAACTCATTTATAGATCCATCCAAACGACCAATTGTAACTTGATGTTTTTACCTGTTATAACAGGTTTCACAAGTTGTGTTACGTAAAATACAATAGACATTACGTAATTGTTACGTAATGTGTGTTTATCTTACGTAATAGTTGAAAAATGTCATTACGGAAACCTTATGTAATAGACACTCATTTTACGTAATGAATATTAACCTTTCGTTACGTAATCTGTTAAATCATTACGGAAGACTTATGTAACGCTTCTAATTTAACTGTTACGTAAGAAATAACTATCGTTACGTAACCTTTACGTAATAGATGCATACTTTACGTAATAGTTGTAAAGTGTCATTACGGAAGCCTTACATAATGTATGGTCCTTTTACGCAATGAATATTAATCAAGTTACGTAATGTGGTAAGTCATTACGGAAGTCTTACGTAACGCTTCTAATTTAACTGTTACGTAAAAAAATAACCTTCGTTACGTAATTGAGTGTGTATTTTATGTAACCGTTGTAAAATGTCATTACGGAAATCTTAAGTAATAGACAATGCTTTTACGTAATGAATATTTACCTAGCGTTACGTAAAATGATAAGGCGTTATGAAAACCTTCCGTAATGCTTCTAGTTTAACTGTTATGTAAGACTAACTAGCATTACGTAATTGTTACGTAATAAACATGAGTTTTACATAATGAGACCTATAAAACCTGCTATAGCAGGTCAAAAATGTCAAGTTATAGTAACTTCAAAGCATGGTAGGAGGTCCCTTACTTATAATATGTGTTTTGGGATTAAATGGAAGAGCTATTGTAAATCATCCAAAGTTAAACATGTTCATTGTGGATCAATAAAAATGATGGGCGACTTATCGAGAAGTAGGGGTAGGCAATTGGTTCGGTAAGTTCGAATCGAACCCGAATTATACCTAAAACCCAACAATATCTTGACCGAAAAATGATTCATGAGTATAAACCTTATATTTTACATACTAGCTATTACAACATAATGAATCCATTTAGTGTCCAATTTTCATCCCAAGTAAAACTTTTTCCCAGTTATGGACAATAGTAAGTAAATATTAACTGTCAAAAATATCTATGAACTAATTACCACTAATATCGCAATCAATAAGTAATACATATATTATTTGGACTTTGTTATGGTGACTTACAAGTTACCGTAACTTGGACAAAACAGTCGACCTCTTCAATGATATGGTCGACTTATTTGGACAAAATGGTCGACCTCATTGTTGGAATGGTCGACCAGATGTACTATTTCTCATTTGTTATGTTCAACAAACGGTCAACCTCTTTCATTAAAAGGCACTATACAAAAAAATGGCCTAACACTTCCATTAAGTGGTCTACCTCTTTCTCTAAGCGGTCCACCTCTTTCAATAATTGATCCATTTGATGAACCATTCCTAGTGATATCACCATATATAATTAGAGTCCAATAACAATAGATATGTATACAAGTAAGAGATTTAAAATTAGTACAAAGGCTGCAAGCATAGATGACAAGTTTCTCGAGTGAATGTTCTCTCGTAGATTTGAAAAATGTTACGCATATTTATTTCTTATGTTGCATTACTGCAAAAACAATTTTATATTATTGGTCTCCTATTGTCCATTATTTTCGTAATGTAAGTATAAGGTAGCTGTGTTATCTAGTCGACTGGTCGCCGAAAGCGGAGATCATTTGCTGAAAGAGATATGTAAACCATTTTGCGGAATCGGTAGGTTGTTTTGGCGGAAGTGGTCTACCTCCTCCAACAAGCAGTTGTAAGTTGATGGTAAGTGTCATATGTCGACCCATTTCCGGAAGTGGTAGACCACTTAGTGGAAGAGGTGGACCATATTCTTGGAAAAGGGTCGACCACTTGATGGAATAGGTCGATCGTTTTCTCCAAGTTACGGTGACTTGCAAGTCATCGTAGGCATACCCATATTATTTTGGGCTAATAGCACTACAAAACTCGAACTATAAAAAAGTGTCACTTATGTCCCGTTCTATTCAGTATTTCATTTATGTCCCAACTTATGATAGTTGTGTCATGTGTGTCATTTATGTCATGGTAATTTTTTTTACCGTTATAGATAACGGTTGACCAGACGGTCAATGAAGAAATGTTGACCATTATTGATGTACAAACATGTGTCTGCTTCATAGATGCCATATCATCACCACATCACATCATACTATTATTTTTTAATTCAAACTTAAATTAATTTAAAATCACAAGATGTTGTCGGCGACCCCTCTTCGACAAAATGCCCTTGTTCCAGTCGGCGAGCCTCTTCTTCTCCGATCTCCCCTGCTGCTCCCTCTCTCCCAACTCCCCAACTTCATCCAAGTCAATTCCATCGCACAAAATAGCTCTCATCTTGGACTCGACAAAAACACCTATTGTCCATCGACCTTTAGCTTGACGAATAGGATTGGAGTGGCGGCGGAGTGTGGTGGTGGCGGATGGGGTTGTCGGGTCGGATTGGAGTGGGAGGAGTGGCAGATTGGGTTGCCGGGTCGAAAGTTTTTTTAATTTTTTTATGTTAATTATTTTTTAATCAAAATTGAATTAAAATTTCACATCATTTTCACATCAATGCTGACTAGACTTTCTGTTAAATTCAAACGGCCAATGGTGGTCAACCCTAACATAAATTGAATATTGAATAATTCGGAACACCAATGACATTTCGTGATAGTTCGAGTTTCCCAGTGGTATTGGCCCTATTATTTTCAATAAAAAATAAACTATTTAAAAACTTCAACATCATATGAAAATATGAGTTAATTGATTAACATAAAAAATATAAAATATGAAATTAATTTGACCAACGAGTCGAGTAAAAACTAGCATGATCGAAGAGAGAATGGTGGCGTATAAAATAAAAATACATAATTATTCATAATCAGGAAAGTTTGAGTTGGGTATTGAGAAAACTTACAGTCTCTTATAACATGTATTATTTTGGCGTGAATTTTATCAAACACCATAATTAGTAAACAATACATATACATTAATTGAAGTATTAAAGAGGATTTAAACCAGTGAGAGGCGGAAATTGATGTTGTATTTGGCAACTAGGGGGTGCAAATTCGAGTGAAATGCAAATTGAGGTGTACATTGTAGTGGAGTGTAAATTGTTGTTTGAGAAAAAAAAGTAGTAGGGTGCAAAATGAGCTATATAAATTTTAGGATTTTGCTACGGTGACATGCATGTCACCGTGACATGGACTTTTCGGTCGACCTATTGCTGAAGGCGGTCGACCGAATCGACTAATTCATGTTTGTGGGATTCCAAGACGCGGTCGACCTCTTACATAATACGGTCGACCGCTTTGGTGGTCTAACAGAATGAAAGGTCGACCCAAATATCTCATAGGCCGACCCTTGTGCACCTAACAGGTCGACCGCATTAGGAAGAGGTCGACCGCCTTCACACCGTATCTGTATTGGATATGGATTCCAACACCAGAAAGGTTCCACAATTGGACAAGGAAACGAATTGGGTCGACCCATTGACGTCCCAAATCTCTATAAATACGAATATTAGTCCCCTTCAACGCCTCCAAGTCTGAATTAGGTTTTTTTCCGATTAAGAGCCTTTGTGAAGAAGATCGTTCGCGGTTGCTGTTGTACGCGTTTGAAGTGGTCGACCAGGTCTAAGGTGAAGTCGACCTAATGTACCATTCGTCGTCTTCTTTTCTAATGCGTGATTTCTACCGGCTAATTTGATATATTGTTGGGTGCAGAATTCCATTCGGTCGACCGTGACGTCAATCAGGTCGACCTGACGAGACAATTCTGCGTATTTGAATTTAGGCCACAACACTTGGATTTCTGTACTTGCGAGGTAACCCAATTGGTCGACCTAATGGGTTTCAAGGTCGACCGTTCCTGTTTTTTTGGTTATTCAATCTGAATGTCGACTTTGGCTTTGATTGTATGACTATGTTGTGCTTGAAAAGGTCGACCGCGCCAAATATCTGGTCGACCTATCATTTTTTCGGTTTAATTTAGAACTTACTTTTTGTTGTTAATTGTTATTTTCCTGCTGGATAGGTCGACCTAGGAATAACAGAGGTCGACCTTAATGGTTGTGGTAGTCACTATTTGTCTTCCAGGTCGACCTAATACTATGTCAGGTCGACCACGTATTTGTTTTTTGGTCAATTGTAGAAATTTGAAGTTGAATTATGATTTAAATTTTTCTTGAAATTGTTTAGACAATGACGCATGATGAGAAACTGCATCAAGATTTGGGTGAAATCATGAAATTGTTGAA